CTGTTCTTAAAACATCTGCTCTGTCTCCTTGACATGTAATGACCCTCTGACGTCACTAAAACCACACCCCGGTTGGTTCGTTCAACCAATCAGGAAGTTCTCGGAGGAACCGGAAGTGACCTCTTTAAAAGGGTCGACACTTCCTAGTTCCAAGCAGAACAAGAGCTCCAAGCAGAACAACGTTCCAGAGAGAACCAGAGTTCCAGGGAGAACCCCGAACGAGAAGTTCAGAGGAACAGAAGTTCCGAGCAGTTTCTAATGGAGTGACAAGAGTCCGTCGATGCCACGACGTCTCGCTGTGGTTCTACCCGACGAATGCTCTGAACAATGAGGAAGTCTGTTCTGTGATGATCTCATGACTCCTGAGGTCACAGCTGTTCTTACGGAGACGCTGAAAGGTGGCTTGAAGTGGAACTTTACGCCGGAACTGAAATATCTTCAGAAAGATAAGAGTCGATCTTCAACTACCAGTGTACCGTGGATTAAGCTGCGTCTAAAGAAGCATGCTGATCTGGTTATACAGACACATTCCCTCACCCATCTCTCTCCATTTAAACTTCATTTTCCCATCTTTAAAACTCTTCTATCTGCCAGTAATTAATCCAGATATTTTCAGAAATGTCTGTTGTATTTCAGTTGAAAGTGAGAAATCATGGCCGTATGATTTCTCAGTGCAAAAGCTCATTAATTAAGCTGTGTTAATTGTAATCAATCTGCCAATTAATGTAAATGTGTGATGTTGTTTTAAATCGTTTTTAATTAAACGGCTCACTGTTGTGGTGAGTCAAAGATAAAACACGTTTCCGTCCACATTTAATCATTCAAGGCACGATAGTACTCAGTCCAGAAAAATGAAAGAATCCGTTTAAATAAAGGATAAATTCAGACGTCTATTATCTCTCATTACACCACCAATGAAAGACAAGTGTTTTTAATACAAAAAACGCCAACCTTCAAATAATCATGTTCAGTTATGCACTCAATACTTGGTCGGGAATCCTTTTGCATGAATGACTGCTTAAATGTGGCGTGGCATGGAGGCAATCAGCCTGTGGCACTGCTGAGGTGTTATGGAGACCCAGGATGCTTTGATAGTGGCCTTATGCTCATCCAGAGTGTTGGGTCTTGCGTCTCTCAACTTTCTCTTCACAATATCCCACAGGTTCTCTATGGGGTTCAGGTCAGGAGAGTTGGCAGGCCAATTGAGCACAGTAATACCATGGTCAGTAAACCATTTACCAGTGGTTTTGGCACTGTGAGCATGTGCCAGGTCATGCTGAAAAATGAAATCTTCATCTCCATAAAGCTTTTCAGCAGATGGAAGCATGAAGTGCTCCAAAATCTTCTGATAGCTAGCTGCATTGACCATGCGCTTGATAAAACACAGTGGACCAACACCAGCAGATGAAATGACATCCCAGTGACTGTGGAAACTTGACACTGGACCTCAAGCAATGTGAATTCTGTGTCTCCTCTCTTCCTCCAGACTCTGGGACATTGATTTCCAAAGGAAATGCAAAATTGACTGTAATCAGAGAACATAACTTTGGACCACTCAGCAGCAGTCCCATGCAAGATGCTTCTGATGCAGTCTCTTGTTCAAGATTGGCTAGACCTGGGGAATGCGGCACCTGTAGCCCATTTCCTGCACACGCCTGTGCACGGTGGCTCTGGATGTTTCTACTCCAGACTCAGTCCACTGCTTCCGCAGGTTCCCCAAGGTCTGGAATCGGCCCTTCTCCACAATCCTCCTCAGGGTCCGGTCACCTCTTCTCGTTGTGCAGCGTTTTCTGCCACACTTTTCCCTTTCCACAGACTTCCCACTGAGGTGCCTTGATACAGCACTCTGGGAACAGCCTATTCGTTCAGCAATTTCTTTCTTGTGTCTTACCCTCTTGCTTGAGGGTGTCAATGATGGCCTTCTGGACAGCAGTCAGGTCGGCAATCTTACCCATTATTGCGGTTTTGAGTAATGAACAAGGCTTGGAGTTTTTAAAAGCCTCAGGAATCTTTTGCAGGTGTTTAGAGTTACATCGTTGGTTCAGATGGTTAGGTTAATAGCTTGTTTAGAGAACCTTTTCGTGATTTGCTAATTTTTTGAGACAGGCATTTTGGGTTTTCATGAGCTGTATGCCATAATCATCAGTATTAAAACAATTAAAGACCTGAAATATTTCAGTTGGTGTGCAATGAATCTGAAATATATGAAAGTTTCATTTTTATCATTACATTATGGAAAATAATGACCTTTATCACAATATGCTAATTTTTTTAGAAGGACCTGTATGTATGTATATAGGCATAGGTATGGGTATATATATTTATGGAAACTTACTGCAAAGCCATGAATATTTTAAGTTCTTTATACATATGTATTTTGTTGCTGTGTTTTGTCATGCTCTTTGCAGGTGAACAGACAGTGGCCGGGTATTTTGCCGTGTGCTCTCTTTGTGTATATTTATTATATTTTGGAGTCTTACTTTGTCTTTTCTTTCTTTCTATCCTATTAAAAAAGAAAAAAAAAAAAGCTACACTAGATAATCACTAGAATAAATATTTCACAATAATGTTGTGGAGAGGATGGCTGTAAGGGGAGAAGGGAGGCCGTCCAAAAAAAAAAAAAAGGAACTGGAGGCAACAAAATGTTTGTTGAAACAGTTGAGTACAGTGGTGGGCAAACTTCTTGACTTGCGGGCCACAATGGGTTCTAAAATTGAACAGAAGGGCTGGGCCAGGAACAGATGGATAGAGTGTAAATGGATAAATGGACTGTACTTGTATAGATCCTTTCTATCTTATCAAGATACTCAAAGCGCTTCACAACACAATCTGGGCCCTCATTTACCCATTCATACAGCACTCTGTCTTTACAAATAATAATTAGTGCTTTATCACATTCATACACTGATGGGACACACATCAGAGGCAACAGGATTTTCAATGTCTTGCCCAAGGACACTTCAGCATGTGGAACCTCACTGCACTGGAGGACGACTGCTCTAACCACTCTAAATACATGTTGTCTGAGTATCGCGCCATTTGTTTTATCTTCTGCTATCCAAATCTGAAGTCGTTGTTGTTAAATGTATTTTGTAGCCACTCCTCTAATTTCATACATGTGGATGTATTAATTGTTCATAATGTGTGTTTAGTGTGTATAATAATAGTTTTAACATCATTAACAGTTTCCCAGCATTACCTCTTAAGTGTCTTCAACAAACCAGTAACCAAAGAAACATTCATACATCAGACATGAAGTTGGCGTGAGGCTGTGTACATTTCTACATTATATTCATTCTTGATGCAGCTGAAGTTTTGCTTGTAAAAGAGCTTACAGCACATTTTGTGCACCCTAGGTCACCTCAGGTCATGAATGTTGAACATGAGGCCACTGGTCACCTGAGGTCACCTGAGGTCATGGACGATGACTGTTCAATGAGGATAGTCTCAGAAGGCATCTGGAGTGGAATAGCTTTAAAGTGTTGCCATCACATTCATAATGACCTTTTTTTACATTTGACATGCTCAAAATGTTCAGCTGTGACTAAAATATGGGTTTATAACATTTGCAAACATTTTATTCGTTTTTTTCACATTTTACACAATGTCTTCAAAAAACGTTCAATACAAAAACAATTGGACTTTATTTGTAAACAGAAGACGTTTCGCTGCTCATCCTCGCTGCATTGGACCACATACACTACACCACTCTGTTTGTGTATGGGTGTTTTGTCCTTAGGG